TACAGGTGTCTCTTCCCCACGCCCCCTCCACCAGAGACTGTGACTAACTGTGCGGATGGGGGAGTGCTGGGTGTTGTGCCGGGCATCATGGGATGCATCCAGGCCTTGGAAGTGCTGAAAATTGCTTCGGGAATGGGTTCCTCCTTCAATCAGTTCATGCTGATGTTTGATGCCCACGAAGGGAGATTTCGCAATATCAAGTTAAGACCAAAGAAAACAGACTGTGCCGTTTGTGGTGACAATCCGTCTGTCACCTGCCTTCAGGATTATGAGGCATTTTGTGGTTCTTCTGCAACGGACAAATGTAGGACTTTACATCTGCTGCCTAGTAAAGACAGAGTGTCTGTAGAGGAGTACAAAAAGCTGTTGGATGAGCAGGTTCCTCATGTACTGTTAGATGTTCGTCCGCAGGTAGAAGTGGATATCTGCCGCCTGGTACATGCTGTCCACATTCCTTTGAGTAAATTAGAAGAAAAAGATGAAGAATATCTGGAATATTTAGAAAAAAGAATTTGTGAAGAAAAGCAGAGGACTGATGGCCAGACATCTTTTCCTGTATATGTTGTTTGCAAGTTAGGAAATGACTCCCAGAAGGCTGTGAGAATTCTACAGGAGTTACATGTCAAAGAATTGGGTTCTGTGTTAGCTAAGGATATTAAAGGGGGGCTCATGGCTTGGGCCAGTAAAATTGACCCGACATTTCCTCAGTATTAGAAATTTAAATGGTGGGAAAAAAAACCCACAAATTTTCATAGTAAATTTCATTGCAGTAATTATGTCACGTGGCAAAAACAGGAGATAGAAACACCATATTGCTTTTTTGCAGTTGTTTTTCTTTCCCCCAAAAAATTATTGTTGTAGATGTCTGCTTATTTTTTTTATAAAATTGTGAACTTATCCATGGAAACTGAAAGAAATGTGTTTCGTGGTGATTATTTAATAGTGAAAACTCGGGATAAGTACTTAATTGTGCATGTGATGATTTGGAATGACTCATAACGTGCATAATGGCAAAGCACAGGAGTCGAGTGTTGGAAGTTTTTACTTACTCTCCCAACTGCCTAACAAGCTGAAACAGGGCACACAGTGATTAAAAAACCCCATCCTGTTAAACCCTAGCTTGTCAGTAGTACTTTTAAGCCTGTGGTAGGAAACTGCCAAGACCATGCTGCAGGACTGTTCTGGTCAGCATCTTTTAGTTCTCTGTAGAAGCACTGGGTGTTTGTAAGAGAGAGGCACTCACTGCAAATAACAGCACCTACAGCAAGGGTGTTCTCTTAACTTTCAGAGCCGTTCATTCTCATTTATTGACTGGCGAGAAAGTGTACTCTCCGAGTCCTCTGTACAGAGAAACTGAGGTTAAATGTTAGTAAGACAGAGGCTTGAGCCCAGAAAAGTTTCTAAAACATACAGAAAATGCTTTTGTGAGGGCTTGGAAGATTTCAGAGGTTGAGAGGTCAAGAGGTGAGGGAGAAAAAAATAGATGTGTGACCTTCCTTCTGCAAGTACAAAGACGTACTTCATAAGTTTTCTCCCTGTTTTCTTGCAGTAGTTGCACAGCCCCAGTTTTGCATTATTTTGTTAACTGACATGAAGAGCTACACGTATCTAAAAAGTTCTCATAGACAAACTGGATGGAAAGGAAGAAATAAATAGCTTCTCAACAGAGAGCTGCCTGAGTCTTCATCATGTAAGCATAGTAATTATCTTACTGTATTAATTAAGGTATGGATTTCCTTTACTTCCTGAGGAGGAACAAAACACCTGTCATGACTAATCTTCACATTATACACGGGCAAAAAAAGGAATAGTACCATTATAATTAGTAGTCAAAAAGGCATATTTTAGTAAAATAAGCTTGAGAACATCCACACTGCCTACTTTATTATAATGTGCCGTGGATTCTAGCAGTAATAATCTCTTGTGAAGGAAACAGGTATGTGAATTTTGTGAGGGTCATACTTCTTGCAGTTTAGTTGACAATGACAGCATCGGAGGCCGTGACCTAAAGCAGTTGTTAGTGCTTCGGGGTGTGTGGTGAGCAGCTCGTCAGGCAAGACCTTTTCAGACAGGTGGTGGAGGCTTACGTCAGTCAGAGCATCTGGCTTCTGGTGGATTTCGGCTTTTGGGAATTGGAAACTAGAGAGACTTGTTTGAAATGCCTGACCTATGTTTTAATTTTTCTTTCTTTACTGTGGTGTCAAGAAAAGACTGAAACATAAAAGGTAACAGTAGCAAGAATTCTCTAATATCTAACCGTTCAGTGCTAAATAATGGATGTCACATATCCACCTGGCCTGAAAAAGTGATTCTTTTTGCATCGTTCAAGGCAAGGTAGACCTATGGACTTGGGGAGAAGGGAAGGACTTTCTGATTCTAAATCTTAGTGCTGCTTCCAGTGGATAGAAATCATATGTGAAGTCGTTTCCTTTGTTACAACCTTTTAGCAGCAGATGTACGCAAGTTCTGTGAAAGGAAAAGGAGATCACATTAAAGCTGGTGGTGTTTGACAGATGATTTGTCGTAGCACATTTTCAATTGGGAAGCCAGACTATGAGTCTTTGTGCAGTACAGAAAACAATTAACACCATGATCTTGAGAACTCTATGGAAAAAACAGTGATAAGGATGAATGAAAATGGACCAAAACCATGGAATGATATAAAAACTGGCGAAAACCATAAATACATCAAATTGGGCTAACACAACAAAAACTTGCAAGGATCTTTTCTGTTAAAATGGCTTTCTGGAAAGACCATTCTTGCCAATCTGTGGGGATTAAGGTCCAAAGTTCTTGTGAGAGTACAGCATCTGAAATGCATTTTTTATTTTTGCATAGAGTGAGTTCTGTGGAAAATTAATTGGGCCATATGATATAGAGATAGTTATTCTGGAAAGAACTAGTAGCTCAGTTCTAATGTCGAGGGATTATGCAAAAAAGTAGGTTTCTTGGGTAAAAAAACGGTTCTCTGCCTTAAGATAGCAATTGAATTTCAGCAAATATGAGAAGAACGTCTGCCGTGCATCTTAGATAAAGATGAGGCCCATAGTGCTTGTCAAAATGTCATTGCTTACGTGCTGGGGCTTTTATTTTAATTTCTTTTTTCCCCTTGGCTTGTTGAAGTGGTATAGAAGTGTTCCTGTAGAGTCCTCACACAGTGTTGGACTCTTGGAGACAGGCTGAAAAATCAAAGGTCATAGGATCGTAACTAAGCTCAACTCCAATGTTAATATGCGAAACTTAGCTTTTGTTTTGACTTGCATTATTTCTTGAACTCTGTAAAACCTGCAGTGGCTTCTCTGTCCACCGGGAAGTATAATAGCAGAACTCTACTTAGAAATTCTAAGAGAAGCAATAAAACTGTTGTATTTTGCATTGCTGCCAAAACACTGTCTAAACATTGGTGCACGCTGACACTGTGAATGAGGACAAACTGCTTTAGTCAGGGAGCTCATAGTGTAGTTGGTCTAAGATGTGTCATCTGAAAGGATGAGGTCAGTTAGAAGAGTGTATTTTTCTCTCTGTCCTTTGCTCTTGATGTCATGAGGTTGCTTTTTCTTGCTTGATTATATTCTGTTTTAAATGACTTACTACAATGTGGCACAGGAACTAAGCAGGAAACAGCTTCCTGTCAAAGGTTTAGGATAATAGAAAGTGGCGGCAGCATTTGTTCTCAGTTGTTGCATTTTAATGTCTCCCACATGTGGGATAGCCTTGCGGTTCAGGCACAGAGTTAGATAGCTGAACTTGCTTTGTCCTTGGACATGGTTGTTATTTTAAGGCAAATCAAGCTGGTCTAGCTTTCGGGCCAGTCTAAGAGGTGTCTGCGTACAAGGTACTAATGTGCCTCAGTGAGCTAAAATCCTCGCTATTTTGGTGGCAGGAGTCTCCTATCTCAAAGCTCCAATAAATTCAACACTGACCTCCTATCAGAGTGTATGATTTTAAAAAAAAATCCCCCAACAATAAATAGAACTATTTGTAGACAAATATGTAAGGGATATGTCCAAAACTAGTTCTCAAAATTCATATACCAGAATTTAGTATGTGAGTATCTTTATGATTATCCTGTTTGTAAGCATAGTTTCTCGTAAAAATGTAACTGTTCAAAACAAAACTTCGCACTAGATGCTTAAAATACTGCAAGCACAAGTTTATCTTTTTTTAAATACAACTCTAAGCTATTCTTTGTAAAACTACATCAGGAAAAAAATTTTAAAGGTATTTGCTAGGTGGCACTCCAAGTTAATAAACCAAATAATCTCAGTGTTGCAAGATGCAATTCAACTTTAGCGAGAGCTGAGGTTCACTTGTAAAAATGCATCGTTGTACAGTTTTTGGAAAAAAGACTGGGGAAATAAATTCGAGCAGGGTAATTGAATAGTACATACAATATTTTGAGAAAAAAATATAATTATCTTTCTGTGGTGAATTTTCAAAGTGTTGTTTGTTTCAGAGTCTTAACCTCAGGGTTTTTTCACATGCTATTTCAAAATGCTTTGTCAGCCCAAAATGGGTAATTGTGCAGAAAAGGGTTTTTAGGATTGATAGCACAAAATTAAATGTAGATCTTAAATCTACCAAGTGCCACTGCAGAGTTACTGCTGCTACATTCTTAATAACCTGATTAGGACAGGATTTTCATTGAGAAGTCAAGGACTTTTATTTTTGACTTCTTTTTTGTAAAACAGATTAGGCATAAAATCTATTAATAAATAAATAAATAAAATCCTTTAAAGTCAGATATTCCCTTAAATTGGACTTCATTACATATGAAATAGCTTAAATCATGTCCTGATAAATTGAGTTGTTCCTGAAACTGAGTCATTCTATCACTGGAGATTAAAGACGTGCTTATCACTTATTTTTTAGAAAAAGTTGAGTCACAGCAGTGTTAGCATGAACTTTATCTGTGTTGCTTCATTTCTATGTGTGCCTGACTTACTAGCTCGGGGCTCGAAGCTAAATTAAAAAACCTGAGAGAGGAACAGTGGGTACTACAATGTTTTGATAAAATTGCCATCTGGGTTCTTTCCTTATGCTGGTCGGAGTTCTTCCTGCACAGAACTTTCTTCCCTTCTGAAAGGAAGGATCAGTCACTACGTGCATTGATCGGGTCACTTTCAAGCTTGGACCCTCACTGAACGAGAAAGGTGGAGCTGAGTCATTCTGAAAAGGTACAAGAAGTTTGGTAAATCCAAACCGTACTACTTTCTTTGAGTACAGGACTTTGGTCAGAACTAGTGGAGTAGTTCTCAAGTGGCTAAGTTGAATAAAAAGCAGTTACATCACTAAAGAGAGTGGCTGGGAGAAGAGGAAAAGGACACTCAAAAGCAGCAATACCTATGGCTGGGGGTGAACTAGAGTTCCTGAGGGTGGTACCAGTCCTTCGAGTTCCTGGTGGGCCCGATGTCGTGCTTTTCCTTCTAGATTAAGGCCATGAGAGGTGTAAAATATGTATTAGGGTAGCAAAATTTGGAGCATACTTAGCAAACACTAATGTAACCCACAGGAAAACACACACACACATTGGTTTGTGGCATTGACCTTCTGTGGTTTATGTTACCATTGGTTAAATATACTGGCCCCACTGCTTACCTGACACTGCAGCTTCAAAATCTTTGTGGGGAAAACAAACACAGCTCAGGAAAAGAAGCGTTATGTGATTAAAGGCCATGGCTAGGAAGGAGACATCAGGATTTCAAAGAGCCTTC